CTACTCCTACTCCTCCTCCTCCTACTACTACTACTACTACTACGACGACGACTACTACAACGGCCTAAACACCAACTTGACGTCACGAAGACTCGCCCAGATTTCCGTTCTTGAGTTCTTGGCACCCGCCTCTCGGGCCACAGATGCTGCACCAAGCGAGGGCAGCTCTCCTGAAGCATCAGCCTGAGCGGGCCATGTGAATACGCTGAGGCTGAGGCACAAATCGCTGGGTTCCTGAAGAGCGTTCACTGTGGGCTCTTGGAAAGCTCTTGCACTGCACTCGACAGGACTGCACGCCGCGGTCGAGGGGAGCCATGTCAGGAGCAACACTGCTGTCGACCCCAACTGCACAGAAGCCGATGGCCTCGCCAGCGTTCAGGGCCTGGATTAGGTCCTTGCCACAAGCACGCGACTCTGACTAGCATCCGTCTTTGGCACGGCCGGCTGGCTGTTCCCTCGTCCTGGCACTTTTCGCAGGTGTCGGCACGTGCGGGATCATCTGCATCTGTTCCCTCCAAAGCAGCCATGTCCTGCAAGAGCCTGGCACCCAGGACACTCACACAGCTTCAGGGCCATGAAGCCCCCCGGGAGCACCCCCTGCTGGAAATGTACTACTTACAAAAGCGCATCGAAAGGTAGGCGGCTCCGAAAGCCTGAAATCGTGACTGTCGGATCCATGAGGCCCTCAAACCCCCCAATGAACTCATGCAACCTCATTCCTGAACCCCAATGTCCGAGTCCCACCTGCAAAGGCTCAGAGCCAGGTGCTCTTCAGATGGCTGTTGGGCGCCCTGGTGTCAGGTGGCTTTAAAAGACTCTCGTTACCATCGATAGCGTCGGAGCACTGTGCTTGGCCATGGCCTGGCTGAGAACAGTGTGCTTCCCGAGCTCCTGCGCTGCGGCGTTGCCAGTGGCACATGTATGAGCAATATGGGTTTGGGCTGCAGGGCCGAACGGCTCTTCCCAGGTCTTTGCCTACTGTGCGGCAGAGTGGTTGATGGGCATGCGCTTGACAAGCTCTCTGCGACTTGCCTGGCACAAGCCAGACCGCAGCTTGGGCAATTCAGGCAAAGTCGGCAGGGCTGCAGTCTGTACCAGAATAGGGATTTATCGGCAGAATCTCCTTCACGAAGCTGTGCTTGAAGTTCAGCTCCAGCACTGTCCCCTTCAGGCGACTGTCTTCTATACGCTCTAGCCCCATCTTTTTGAGAAACCTATAAGCAGCCCAGCGCAAACACGATGAAGCGAACACAATGAAAGCGCTCTGCGCAGTGAGGCAGACGGAACCGTCGCCTGCTCCGAGCTGGCCAGCTGCGCGCAGCACTCGGGATTGAGGGACGCCAGCGTGACGGAACTGGGACCCCTGCAGCAAGGTCTCTTGTAGAAACGGTACGGGCATCGCTGGCGCCGCTTGTTGCTTGACGTTTGGACGTGCGCCAGGCTGTGGCGCAGTGTGCACAAACACGTAGGGCTGTGGATCAGTCGAAAGCCACAACCTTGTTCGTACCTGTAATTCACAGTGTGTACAAGGGGTTTCAATTCTTTGAGGGCTCAAATCGGGGTTCCCCCAAGCTGCACGCAAAGGAGGGCCCTGAAGCGCCCAGGTGCCCCGGCCCCTCCGCGAGGAGCTCCTGAAGCCGCTTCCGAAGCGGCTCCAGCTCAGCCTCAAAAACGCCATGTGGTCTTTCAAAAGAAGAAGAAGAGGACGAAGGAAGACTTTCGGGGTTAGGGTTAAAGGTTTAGGGTTTAAGGATTATTTTAATTTAAAACTTAAAACAATTGTTTTAAATTTAAAACAATTAAGGATTAAAGGTAAAGGGCTGAAGGGCTTCGGTTTTCAGAGTGCTCTGGGAGATGCTCTGATCACGTGGGCTCGGCTCCGAGAGGCTCCGGCTCCGGCTTGGAGGCTTCCGCACAGAAGAAAACGCTGTGGCTTTTTTTTTGGGGGGGGTTTCCTGCAAGGCCTCAAGGAAGCTTTTAAAAAAATCAGGGCCGGCGAGAGAATTGCAGAGTGGCCTTCGTTTGTATCTATGAGGCAACAGGGGATTGACTGCGGCACACAGACGCAAGGGACTCCCTGCGTGGTCTCGATTGCCTCAGTATCTTTGCCACCCAACTACACCTGCACCGCGTGAAGTCTGAGCAGAAATGGACAACCAGGTCAAATCCTCATCATCTCGACAAGTGTTCACAACCCACAGAGTCTGAGCCCCGGGGCCTTGAGGTCTGCTTCCGACCGATGGTCAAGGAGCCGCGCTGCGTCCATGCTCATGCCTTGAATGAAAAGGCTTTGAAGCCGGGGCCTGCTTGGGATTTCTAGGGCAAACTCGGGTAGAGGCTTTGGATGCTGGTTTCTCGGAACTGAGAGGTTCTGTTGCTGGCTTCGGGACGGTTTGGTGGACGCACTAGAACGGGCTAGCTCTTGCCAAGCCTGTTGCAGGAAGCTCTCTGGTTGAACTTCAATGGCTACATGGCGTCGTCTTGCGGAGTCCAAGGTGCAGCTGAGCACCTCGTAGCCACGGTATTCCTGCAAGCGCGAGCAGATGCGAGCTGAGCCGAACACAGCCTCCCCCCTTCTCTATCTTGTAACAAAGCGGCTTAATGAGCCCAGAGCCGGACCGTGCTTCGGCTCTGATGCTGATACGGAGCAGAAGCATCTCAAGTGCATATGCAACGACCTGCATTGTCCTTGAGGAATTGGACAGCATACTCGTCGACGGGGTCCGTCATGTAAATCACTTCGTAGCCATCGCGCTTCAGGCCCTGCCACGCTGCCATGCTCGGTGCTTCACTCGACATCCGACGCAGCTCTCCACCTCGATGTAGGGCGAGCGCGCGGCATCCCGCTTTGTTCTGCCGGTGATGTAAAGGATGTGTCGCTGGCCTGGGGCTGAGGCAGACACGCTACGGATTCGGCGAGCAGCGTACCGTTGTGGACAGTAGAGCCGTCCTGGCTTCATCCGTGCGATGTATTCATCAAAGCCCACCATCTCCTGCCAGATGAAACGGACCGAGACGCTTTATACTTCTCGGTTTGCGTGCGAGGGTTGAAAAACTGTCCTATTCTCCAAGCGCAAGGGCTCCTAAACCGGCATGGATTCAGTCCTCTCCAGACTTTGAAGAGTGATATCTCAGCAGGGGCACAATCTGCTCCCTGTTGGCATGGTCCTGCAGATCAGGTTTGGGATTCCCGTGCCCCGAAGTGAAATTCTGTGCAATGCGTCCTCATAGACCCCGAGCTTGAGGCACTGTGAGAAAGCTTCGTGGAATGCCTTAAAGCGAGCTTTGTCCTCGGCCGCACAGAGATGTCTGCACCAAGCCAAAAAAGACCCTGACGCATTCCCTAAACCCTAAGCCCTAAACCCCTTTTTGCAGTATGCCGGCCGAGGGACAGCAGAGAGCTCCTCGAACATGCTGAAGATATTCTTCTGCAAGCCGGTCTTGATGTGCTTCCTGGGGACGGCAGCCGTTTTCGTAAGTTGCCTGAACACTTTGGCAGAGATTTGGTCAGGAAGCTGAGAAAAGGAAGTCCACTGAAGCTGAAACCAGATCCAGAAGGGGCCCTTGCATTGAATGCCGCTGCAGACGTCGGGAAACCCTGACAACTTCAGGCAAGGCTCAGAATCGCATTCTGCTGCAGCATCTCCTCGGCAAGCAAACAGCTGTTCGATGCTTACGAGCAGATTGGATCGCCAAGGAGGCCCGCTGCTCTCCCAAAGCTATGGAGGGAGTTCAATAGTGCTGTCGTTTTACGATGTTTTATGTATTCGATGGGCTGTGTCTGGTACGTAGCAGCGCGGTCGCTGAGTCCTGCAGACTGATGTCTTGGTCTACTGGTCAGCAAGAAGGCATGGTGGGGTGCTTCGGTGTACGTGCTGTTCGGCAAGAGATTGGGGTGGATAGTCCTAGAACAACAGACAAGGAGGAAGAAGAAGAAGAAGAGAAGATCTACCAGTGGTATATGTAGCTGCAATGTTGAGTATCAGGTCATTGTAGCGAACACGGATTATGATGATTAATTATGCTCATCGCTACATGCTCATGATCGTTTCCGGCAGCAGCAGCAGCAGCAGCAGCAGCAACAGCAGCAGCAGCAGCAACAGCAACAGTAAGGACGACGGCAACAACTTGTGCCCCAAGGGCGGGGGGGCAAAGCACAAACCGGGGGCAAGCTGCGCGGGCAGAAGAGGAGGGAGATTTTTTCAGGCTATGCAAATGAGCTTGCTTCGGTTCTCCGATCTGAAGTCCTGAAAGTGCTGCGGATTTCGTTAGACTCCGTCACCTACCCTCTGAACAGCACCTACTGGCGCATCACCCCCCCGCACCGGCACCAGGCATCATAAGCATCATCGGGGTCCCGTTTCTCCAAAAAGACGTCTCTCCTGGAGTCCTGTGTGCAGCCCCGAAAACGAGCCTGCGGGGCCCATGCCTGAAACACCTCATGGCCTGGCTCGAAAACGGAGGTTGTTTCGGGACAGTTTCTGGGTGGTCCCCCCCTCCCACCCCCTGTAGCTGACCAGCAAAGGAGGGTCTCAAACGAAAGCTCTTCCCTCCACGCAGGGAGCTATCGTAACAACAACACCCAGAAACATCACAACCATTGCGCGAAGCGACGCTGCTTGACAATCGGAGTCACACAATCAGATTCATCATCGTTCAGTATCAACGGCTGACAACAGTTTCATCATATTCATCTTCGGTGCCATAGGCATAGTAATGGTGGTCTTCATTTCCTTGTGCACTATCTTCCTCACAACCAAAACACTTGACTCAGAAATCGCATGCAAGCCAAGATGCTCTGCTGATGTTCAGTGGCATGTCATCGCTGTCAACGATGCCCTTCACAAAACCCATCCACTTGGGGATGAGGTCGTTGAACTCTTTGATGAACACCCTGCGTTAACAGCTAGCATCGCACTGACTCGGTCAAGTCTCTTCGCCACGTCTAGCCAATCCTGAAGCCCAGCGGGCCTGCGGACGTAGAGCCGGATGCTAAACCGCTGCGACATCTTGCCCATGTCGAACATGTCCTGGCACCACACAATCAAGAGACTCAACAAAGGTGTCATAGTGTCACTTGAGCAGGATGCTTGGGTGGGCTGCTGCAGCAGCCTCCGACGCCTGCATTGCTTGAAGAAACCATTCTGAGATACCTCTGTCCCTGGTTTCAAACACTGCAAGACTGTCAGGAACCAGGTTCGTAAAGTCGTCAGATCTCCTTCGGCGCTGTGGTCGGACAGTACAGAAGGGCTTTGAAATCCACCTTCATGGCAATCAGAGATGTTCTGCACACTGAAATTCGAAAGCCATCAACGCGTCTGCATGACTGCAGCGACAGCATGCAGGAGGCCTGGCCGCTCTGCATGACATGCTTCACGGCAAGATGATCCTGCATGAAGCTCATGGGCTGCTGGGATGATCTCTGGTATGGTGCCTCTGTCTCCGGGTTTAGGAGGCACATACCACTCCTGACCTGATGTGAGAGGCAGACAGATTTAGCAGCTTCTTTGTTCAAGGTCAGCCCACCCTGGATCTCACACGTGAACCGAGCCTGTAGGACATCAGTACTGCTCGAACCTATATTTAGTTTGTGCCCGGTCTCTTCGCAGCAGAGGTCGGCTTGAGGCTACATGACGCGTGGAACAAAACCGACATGAGGCCTTCGGGTGTGGGGGAAGAATCTTCCACCAGAAATTGCGAGAGCAAGAAGGATGCAACTCATAACTCATGTACAGCAACTGTCGAATGCAGATACAAGCGAGGCTCCTACCATTTCTACCGTACTGAACCTTACATCAAGCGCGAGCTGTCCTCCCAGTCGCCAGAGAGGAATTTGTATAGCTCAGCATACTCCTGCATAGAATACAGTACCAAACGCCAAAAGTCGCAAACGCAACTGGCCCCTTCTCGAAGGAAGCACAGTTGGCATACATAATCTCAAGAGGCACTGTTTTCAGAATCGTGTCACGTGGCACGTCACGGTCTCCTCGTGCGAGACTTCCGATGCTGGCCGAAGCCACAAAGGCTTGTTCTTGTTGATTAGCTCCTGAAACGCAGCTTTCAGACTCTATGCATCATGCACCAACGAAGCAACCGAGGTCGCAACCCATGAGTAGCTCACTGTCACCTGCCGGTCAACGACAGGAGCGGCATGTCGCGAGCATGATCACAACTTCCCAAAACCCATCTCATTATAACTTATAATCCCCGAACTCCATAGCGTCAGCCTCAACCACTGACCTGCACGTAATGCATCGACATGGCTCCATCATTCTGCACTTCAAGGACTTTCAGGCTTCGAGCCATGAATCATGAGCTCATGGGTCCGCAGGCTCCGGTGGGCAGGGGGCCTTGCGTCGCTTCTCCGGGGCTTCCACACCCTCCTCCTCTACTTCGATGTCTTCCTCCTGCAAGGGGAAGCTGATGGCATTACCTTATTTAGTTGTTGGTGGAACTCAAAAACACAGTGTCGCAGTTCCCGCTTCATCCCTTGAAGCAGACCTGGCGATGCTCCATGCGCAGGTCGATGGGGAAGCCTACGAAGGCGGAGTGCTTCATGATGAGCTCCTTGACAAAGGGAAGCCCAGGCGATCGCAAAGCTTTGGCCACGCAGAGACTTGCGTCTTCTTAATTCTTATGCACTAGAATGGGAAACACCGTACTGGGAGCTCGAACACATGGCGCCCATCCAAGTGCAGCAAGCTGAATCGTCATTGCAACCCTTGGGCCCCTAACGGTTTCAGATTGGTGCAAATCCCTGCGCGTTACAAGCGTCAGCGTTCGCCAGATTCTTAGACTGTTGCCTTGGGAAACCTTGGGAAGGTAGCTTGGGCAAAGCAGCACCGTCCTTGAGCCGGTCGGACTCGAGGAATTCCGCCTGACGCCCACAAGCCAGAACTGCCAGTGTCACTCTCCTCCTCTCAATCAGCCCGGAGATCACCTTTACCCATCCTTCGACGGGCCTACAAAGATCCGACATAGGACAAGGTGGCCGAGCAGTGCGAAGAATCTTGGGAGTGTCTCACTCAGCATCTCTGCGTTTGAAAGGCGGCGGAGAGGGAATCCTGCCTGATCCTCTTTCAAGTAGCAGATCACCTGGCAGTAGCGTGGCTTCCGGTCGCGAGTTCATTCGGGGACTCCGCTTTGCATTTGCACCCAAAATGTTCCATGTTTGCTGCCAACTTCAGCTTGCTGGCACCTTGATATGCCTGCAGGCTCTCGAGCGCCGTCTAGAACTAAAGCTATGTAGAAGCATCAAGAGGCCCGGGCTTTCGTGCCGCGCTTCAGCACGCCGTGCTCAAACTTGGTATCCTCGCACCGACAGCCGAAACAGGAGAAGCAGCATTTTGCATGGCTCTATTTCTTACAGAGGGCAACACGGAATTCTGAATGATGGTTCAGTACCATCAGAGCGCAGCAATGCGGAAGAACATCTCCCAGTTGCAACAGCTGTCCTTCCAGATCAGGAAGGTGCCTGCAGGACCAGGCTGAGGAGTAGGGGCTTCACAGGGCACATCGGCTCCTCAGAGCCCGAAACTCATCGTGACACAGCCAAGCCCGACCTCCGGCAGTTGACTCCCAGACATACTGCTCATCGTCGTTGCTCTTGGAGACAACCCGCACTTTCTCCGAAACTAGGTAGGAACCTCCGCGAAAACAGAACAGGAGGGCAACAGCTTGACATGTGCAGCTTCACAAGAGGCAAACGCATAAACCCTGACCGGCATGCCAAGCAATTGGTTCGATGGGTTTAGAAGCATCAAAAGGGATCCACTTACAACCCTATCCCAACTACAAACGGAATCCACCACAAATGCGCTGAGTCGGGAACTGTAGAAGCCCACACCGAACTGGCCTCAAGCATGGTAGTCACAAAGGAAAGCTTGGCCGCAGTCGTCAAGCGAGGGAGACATGCGTCACAGAAGTGAAGGTGCCCTTTTCGCTTGGTGCGGACACTCTGTGACCTGTTTACAGCGACATGCTGAGCCTTTGGCCAATCATAGACATGTCAGCACCGGAGGACACGGCCTGGCCGAGGGGCCAGCTGTTTCAAAGGGTTCTTCAGTTGTCCGTTTGGGTCGTTTTGGTATTGCATCTAGTAACGGAGCACTGCCCAACTAGAATCTCGGTGGCCACTGAATCTACGTACAATTCCATCGCGAGTGTCCGTTAATCCACTGGAATACCGCAATAGCACGAAACTTTCCTGGCACACGCCAGACATTCTGAGATTGAAGGGAGTGGTTCGAAGACGAGCTCTCTCGACCAAATCAGTTGCTCCCTGAACAGGCACAGCACCTGCATCAGGTGCAAACCCTGCGGCCTACATCTGCCTACTACAGACTCCAGCGGCATCTTTTCGGCCCTAGCGGTGCCTCCATGAAGGCCTTGGTTCCGGACTTGGCGATCGTGCCAAGATGCAGGATCATCTCCTCCAGCTTTTAAAGATCATCTGATGTGATTCGTGAAACAAGGCCCCGGCCTCCCGCGTCATGCCAATACCTGTATCCTCAACGGTGACCGTCCCAGCCTGAATGGCCGCCAAATTGCATCGCCGGTCGTCACATGCCATCCCAGACTCTCAATCACGTTTGACTGCTCAAGCGGCTCTCTGGCATGGCTGGCATCAAAGAAGCACGATCGACAAATGTGAGGCGCATGGTGAAAGACAGCGAAAGCTGGTGGCAACAGCTGCAGTCAGCGTGCTCGACCGGCCCCCCCCCCCCGCCCTCCCCGGGGATGCGGCATCCTTGTCGGGTGTCACCTGCTTTTCTCTGTGCTCTTCGCTGTCTGTTTTCACCGTTTCCCAAGTCATGTAGCCTGGGACTCCGCAAACAGCAAACCAAAGCTGCACAAATGCGAGTGCGCCTTAAATAAGCTAATTTGATGGCTGCCTAATTACGAACCGCCATCATGTAAGATTGCCACATTCAGAAGCACAGCCCGATTCGCGTTGAGTCGGTTTGTTTGGACCTTGATGTACAAGTTCGGCTCCGTATCCAGCTTGGACGGGTCCTTGGAGGCCTGCGTAAAGGCTCCATAACAACGGACTTGCACAGATTCGTTTGCAAAGCTTGCAGGGCTGTTTGCTTGGGAGGCTGTGGCACGTAAGGCGTGAGTTCACTTGGTGGCAAGTGGTAGTCAGAAAGAATAAGATCATGCAACATCTCCAGCTTACGTCCCTGCCGCCGCAGGCCGCCTGAAACTGGATTTTGTCCAGGGCATCAGAGGCATTCGAGATCCTGAGTTCGCGAAGATGACACAAGACAAATTTCGAAAGTGCCAAAGGCTCAGCCAAAAAGAAGTTGAAGTGACTCATGTCATAAAGGCCAAACCGAACCCACGGGAGCGGCCGAGCATCAGCTCTCGGAGGAAGATCTCTTTGTTCGTGTAGAAGGCATTGATGATCAGGGACATCAACTGGCTGATGTCCTCAGGGCAGAGATCTTCGGACTCAGTGACACCCAAGAAGGTGTCAAGTGAACAGCTGAGGCCATGGCAGCATTGAAAGCCTCAGATCAATGCTCCAGGGGCGGTGAGCGAGCCACTGTGGGTCGGGGGAGTCTTCAACAGAAGCCGACGACCTTCTTGCTGCCAAGGAGGCATAGGTCTCCAGTTCTGCCGGCGCCATGGCTGCTTGCAGAGCTAGAGAGCTATGAAATGACGCTTTCTTGTTCCTGAACGCCGAAGCGAACATCTGCGACCAACAGTCATGCTGCAGTGTGCCGGTGAATGATGTCCAACCTTCCTGACGCTCTGGGGCTCACATGGCTGGTGGTAGGGATGGTCACTCAATAGAGCATGCCTAGATCTGCTTGAAGCTCTTGCTTTGCGTTTCGGCGTGAGGCAGCTTTGATTTGAGATGCGTTCCGTCTTGCTGCGACCACCAGCACCAGCTGCCGCCAATGCCGAGACTGGTCAGATGACGCTGTTGCTGCAGTTCATCGCTTCCTCTCTGCCATGCGGAGCAGCCTGTCCTTTTCTGGCTCCCGCCATGGAAACAGAGTCAGCCCGATTCCAGGTCCTTTAGACGAGACTCCAGCCAGTCGCCACCTGGCCAGACAAAGCATCGGCAAAGCTTGAGCCCCCTAAAATCCAGATGACTTCCAGTGCGGCTGCGGCCTGGAAAAGCCTTGGAGCAATCTGCTTTGTCGCCCATAGGCTGGTGGTAGACAAAAGCCCTGGTCAGGGCGAAAAGAGAGCATCACAGTAGCCAGGAGTAATGCAGCGCTTAGATGAAGAAGCAGGAATCTCCTGATCGGTTTAGGGCACTTCCACCATTGCCCGGTCACTAGCGCAGCATCATGGCAGCTTATGCTGATTACTCATGAAGTTACCATGGGGTACTGGATGGACTGCTTTGGGCAATGAGCTCAAAAGGTGTGGGGCCACCTTACAGACCTGCTGCCTTATCCATCCCACGCGCCTCACAGAAATGTGCTCCTCAAGATGTGCACGAGAAACATGGTGATGGCAAGAAGCTTCACAATGGCTCGCTTCCCAACCCATATTGCAGTGCAACAGGGCTGAATACTCCTGGACCCTAGCGAGGAATTCCGATGGCATTGGTGATGCGACCTCCTCTGAAGGGTGCCTGCGCCTTCTGCACATCCACCCCAAGAAGTCTGCAGTTTCACGGGGCTCAGAATCAGCTAACAAGTCCTGGTCCAGCGCTTTCTGGTCAAGGCCTGGCGATATGTCAGTAACCCTGCCTAAACCCTAAACCCTAAACCCTAAAACCCTAAACCCTAAACCCTACACTGCTTTAGGATTCCCCTCAGGCCAGGAACAAACTCTCCATGGCGAATTCCGGGCCCCGCCTTCCAACGCTTGCTTGAGCCAGGGCTGCTCCTTCATCTTCGCCTTCAGAGCTTCTAGAGGCACCTGAAAGCATCTGGGAAAGGTCTCTGGCCTAGGAGAGATGAGGGTTTTAGGTTCTAAGGATTGCTGCATAGCTGCTACATGGGTTCAGGGCCGTCTTACCTTTAATCTTTACTGGCCTAGCAACTGTCAAAAAAACAGGTAGGCCGAGGCCAAACCGCTGCAAACTCCGAAATCCGAAAATCGAGCCCTGCGAAGAGGCCCTCAACCTGCAACCCTGACACTTTATAGGGTTTATGGTTTCGGGGTTTAGGGTTTAGGGTTTATAAATCCCCAACCCCCCAACCCCGAACAGCTGAAGCCTCAAACGAAAACGGCTGTAAAAATCGAACACATCATTGAACAAGGAAACACATAGCCTGCAAAGCGCAACCTAGAAATTTATAGCCCCAAAGCTCCAAAATCCTGAATAGAAACAGAAACTCCAACGCAACAAAATCCAAAACCCCGAAACTTTGAAGACGTGGCAGCCAATAGTGCCTATTTTCAAGACGATAGATTACAAGCTGCGGCAGCGTGGTATCATAGCGAAGAAACAAAGTAACAAGTTCACATGTCCGAGCAAACTCACAGAGTGTTACCAGCCGGTCTTCCCTTGCCCCATGGCGTGGCTTCCACACACAAACAGGCAGGCCGGTCAGTTAAATTCCTTTGGTTGTCGAGCTGCGGGGGCATCCACGAGGGCGCGGCCTCGAAACAGGTCAGTGCGTAGCTGGAAGGTTTGCGGATGGCAGCACGGAAGTGTCTAGACAAAAGCCAGTCCGACGATCTTATATGGGCTTGATATGAAAGTAAACATCTTGGTAACGTCTTGCGCAGACAACTGCATTCGAGGCATTGCATTCCATGGTCCGGCCAAGTGTGCGCCCTTTGCCTTCGGAACTCAAAGGATTCAGGCAGCCTTCACTCCCCACCAGGGTATATGCCACCTAAACTTAAAACGCCGAAGGCCCGATGTGTGTTCACCTCGTCTGCTTCCTACCAACACTATGCAGTAGCCCCGACTGCCGACGATGAGTCTCGGGAGCAGGCAGTACAAGCCGTCATTCGGATTCTCGGGGTCGAAGCCCTCGATTCTGTCGCAGGTCTCGATCGCCTTCCTGCCACGGGAGCAGGCTGTGTCAGGCGAGATGCCCAACTCGAAACGTAGAATCTTCCCTTCAACGATGTCACGACAGAAGCCGACTCGCAAAACAGCTGTGAGAGACGGCAAAATCCTCAAACCGCAGCGAATTGATTACAGCAGACATCGCCTGGCCTCGAGACGTCTCCGGCAGGCCATATGAGGATCGTTCCTGGCAGCCGTGGCCGTCACCAACCGAAACGACCAGGGTGGCAGCTTTGCAAGTTCTTGGCTGCAACGCTCGTTGACTTCAACATCTGCGTAATCTTGCCAGCAACACCATGCAGCCGGTCCTGGTAGGCACGCCCAGTATTTCAGGACTCGCACCTGAGCTTGGCATGCTGTCCTGCTCCTCATCGCTTTGCACAGCGAAAGGATAGAAAGCCCTGTCCTGCATGCAAGGGTTTAGATGAGAGCACTGCGCAACCCGGGCACAATCTGCAGTCTGCGGCGCCTCTTGAAAGAGCTTAAAGCCTGTCACGGAGGTGCGGAGCCATGCGGCCCCTGGCCAGGGGTTTCAGAGATACTGCGCCCTTTGTGTCGTTTATCGCCTCTTTTTTCATTTCCGCTCTGTGCTGTGGCTGACACCCGGGCCTGTACGCTCGATGATGCCCCAGTGGTCTCCGGTGTCCTCGAAGTCTCCGCCTGGCTGTCACATGGCGACTAGGAAGTCTTGAAGAGGAGAAGCTAACATGTCATGTGCTCAAAGCTATGCTTTGAGAAGATCCGGTTGCAGGCTACATGCACTGAGTCCACCGCGGAGCGTGCCATACGCAAAAACTGCATGGACCAGATCCTGGCAAACACGTTCAACTGCTGGTCTGATTTCAACTCTTTTCACTATCCAGAAGTGGACCCGTCTGCACATCGACAGACAAGGACTCTGGAATGAAGTTTGTGGCACATGATACGCATTCTCCAACAAATTCGTTAGCCCCTGCAAATCCGGTTGCCTCAAAAGCAATCTCGGGTTCTGGGGTTGGAACAGACCGGAGGACTCACATCCCGGGGCACCGACATTATGAAACCATGCTATGACGTCGGCAGTACTCCTTTGTGACTTACATCCGCGAGATGATGCTCCCCCCAACACAGGGCCAGGGCTGGAAAGTGACAGAGAGGCGCAGGTCTCCCCTGTAAGGGCGCATAAGCCCGCCATATCCAATAGCCCTTTGGCACTTTACTGAGATAGCATGCCTTCCGTTTGAGTTTGAGCTAAGGTGCAACAAAGTGCAACAGGAATCGCGCACTTGGACCGCCAATGAGAGTGAACAAGGACAACAACCCCTCCCTCTCTTCCTGAGAGTCCTTCAACACGTCCCGGCCTTGGCTGACTCCGCTTTCTCCGCGGCCTTCTCCTCAAGCCCAAGGTAGGGAAAAAAGGCTGCGGCCCAGCTTCACATGCCTGTCCTGGCCTCTTACCGGCCCCAACGGCCCTATGCGTCAACAAACCCTACATACTGCGAGTGCCATGTACGCACTTGGAGGTGGAGCTTTTCAAGACTCCAGATACTTCTTGTCAAAAGTTGACTCTGACGGAGTCACACAACTATCCATTGCGGGCAAACGATTTTTCTTGCACGCACCTTGGGCGCAGCCTTCGTCTTTGGCACGGCAGCGACCTTCTTGGGTGACGCGCCCCGCTTGGCCTTGATGAAGAAACAGTGACAGTGGCACTCGCTATCGGGAAAGCTCGATAGACCGCACCCTGAAGGTCAAAAAAATCCACAGAACAAAGCTGCTCCGGGCCAAGGCTCCTATCCAGACATCAGGAAAAAGAACCGTCCACCCGACTACTTCATGTTCCTGACGTCCCACTGAGGCGAGGGGCCGCCGGTGGGCGCGCTGCCATGGGAAGGCTCTCTTAGGGGGCTGAACTCTGGAGCACTGCTTTGCCGGGTGGCCGTACTAGCGAATTCCTCTGACAAACTTGGATTTTCAGTCAGGTACCCTGAACGACTTCATTCGACTAATAGCTTGCCGTGTTTTTGTCTTGACAAAGACTAACTCCCTCTACTGAGCCGACATTGGCCTGAAATTTTGTGTTAGGTTTTGGCGCATCTGGCGATCAAATGGTCTACTCTCCTTGCTGAAAGCCTGTAGACTGCAGTGCCACCTCGCCAACCGCCATCCCCGGCATACTGTCTGCTTGCCATTATGCATGTGCTGTTCTGCTCTACGAAGATGTAACATGTGTGTCTGTATAAGACCACACACACATGTACACATATGTATGTCTGTGGTATCTGCAAGATAGGCTTGCCGGCAATGGCTTTCTGCATTAAGGCAGAAAATGGCTGGCTCATGAGAGTAATCGTTTCCAGGAGTTGCCGTTCCACTTCCTGGCAACTCGTTCATGAGGAAGGCTTTGTCAAAGCCCAAACGGGACAGCTCTGCAGAAATGCGGCTTGAATGTTTTCTTCGACATGCTGCCAGCTGTCCACTTCAGGCAGGGAAGTCGTCGTCGCCGAAAACGCACTCGTCATCATCGTCATCGTTGTCCTGAAGCGTAACACAACGAGACGGCATCCAGCACTGTTCGGACAGCTGCAGCCCCAACAAGCCCCAACCCTAACCAGTTTACCAACACAACCGAACAGTTCAGAGTCCTCTGGGAACAAGCCTTTCCGGCGCAAGTAGTTGTTGGCCTGCCATCTAACCGCTGAGCCGCTGCGGCTTCGAATGCTGCTAAGTCTCGAAGACTCCGAAAGTAGTTAGTTAGTCACGGAATAATGCTCTTCCGTGATCATAACATCCATGTATCCATGTTGGCAGTCAGAAATAACCTTTCTGCGACACGGAGTAGAGAGTAGTCCATCTGCTGAGGAAGCTGGGTCGCACAATGGCTAGACCGGCTAGGCTTCATCCAGTAGGCCCCCTCAAGTCCGACCAAGAAGAGATGCTGAGATGTTGCACACGTCCAGTTCACGAGCCCGAAGTTGTATGGTGACAAGCTACGCGTCTCTGAGCCGCGGCCGGCACCCCGAACCCGGAGCCTCCAGGATCATGGGCTCCCGGATCCTCAGCAGACGGATCTACAGCCCCAAGGGCCTATGCAGCGCGCCCAAACCGAACGAATATCCCATCAAGACCTCTGCGTGCCCCTCCTACTGCTCGTCTGGAGAGCACGACTCCAAACTCTTGACAGCGCAGAGGTTGCCGGCGGCCATCATAGACAGCGCAGCGAAACTTCCGGGGCCCGTGCTTCAGAGGGAAGATGCCCTGATCACGGGTTCGTGGCACGAAAATGGCGCATCACCCGGCAAGAGCTTCCCCTCAGGTCCGTGAACACAGCAGAACCTTGTCTGCATTGGTCTTAACCTCAGTCAGAACGGAAAATTGGATAATCTTCGGATTCTTTGTGGCAGACAGCCTAAACACAGCGAACATGTTATTGTTTTGAGTTAGTTCTTCTGGGGCAACCTCGATTGAGACAAGAAAGCGACGGCTTGTCCAAGCGATTATGTCGACCCATGTACTTTCGGAGCACCGGCGTGCTACAGATGGCTCCAGAAAACCGTCATCTAGACGTCGGTCATCCCACCAGGTTCCAACCGATTGTGTCATGCGGAATCGCCCAACCATATGTCCCCTCCCAGAGTGTTTGCCATCGCTCCACCATGGACTGCTTGGAGAAGGCTCCGAGGGGATGACGTGTGCCGCCCTTGTGTCAAGACACCAGAATTCGTGTGTGTGTGTGTGTGTGTATATATATATATGTATATGTATATATATATATACATATCTTGCTCCTTAGTTAAGAACTCATACTTTCCAGGTCTCATGCTTTGCCAGTGCACAGCTCCTTGCCCTTGGTGACCACCTGCCATTTAAACGAGCGTTGGAGAAGCTGTCGCATTGAAACCGAGTTAGCCGGGTACACGTGTAGATCCTTGTGATGCTCCGCAAAAGAAGCTCCCACATGCACCTCTGCCCGTAAACCCACATGGCAAAGGCCTCTCCACCTTGTGTGCCCAGCACGTGCGCCAGCCACTCCTGCTTTGGAGCATTCGCAGCAAGCAACGAACGAAGCCATGTAGGCATCATTGCTTCGATGTATATGAACTTGAGTCTACCTTAAGAGGAGCAGAGACTGCACAGACAGAGTCCAGAGCGAGAGCCTCTACTAAGGGCTCACTCCCTGCCATCCCGGAGTCAGAGTGGGTTGGTAAATTCCAGTGGCATAAGACTGTCTACGTTCCTCCCTGGCTCGAAATAAATATCACCGAACCAGACAATCAAAAGCAGGAATCTCTGTCCTCGCAATTGAGCTCTTTGGTCTTCTCAGTGGGAACGTACCTTTAACACAGTTCCCACGTCGCAAGGTGGAAGCATTCAGAGGCTCCGATCACGGAATTAGGATTCACAGCGGTATTGAGGAAGCCTGCATGAAGCTGCAGGTGAAGAAAACTTCAGGCGAAGCTGCAGAACTGTTCTGCCGATCTCGGCAAGTCGACAAATTTATGGTCCCAGAGGTCCTAGAGCGCACGCAACGACGGCCAGGTGTTCCAGCCCGACGGAGAACACCATCTGCCAGGAGAAAAACGACCCCAGTCAGGACAGTTCCCAGTCGCCTTGCCGATGTGTCCAGATCCGCCTTTCCGCTCCTCTGCGCAGTGCTCGGTAAATGTCATTGCCCTTCTGTTGCAAACTCACAGCCATGCGAACCGTGCATCAAGGCCACCTAGTACCGCCTCGGATTGGGATTGGGCTTTGGCAAATGGCTTGAAGCGAAGGAAGCCCCGAAGCCTAGACCACTCATACAAAACCTAGGGCAGATTTGTAGCACCATCAATGGCAAACAAGAACAGCGAGTATATCATCCTGACAACCGATGAAGACTGAATGAAGATTCGTTGAGGCTATTCTTAATATTAAAGAGGAATACTAACGGTACTAACGATGATGGCAAGACTGGTCCGTGGTTGCAGCAACATTATGCAACCAGAGAAACCCTAAACCCTAAACCCCTAAACCCGAAACCCCTAAACCCTAAACCCTAAGTCCAGCAGTCAGCCCCAAAGTCCTCCTCGCTTGGATCGCTCTTGGCATTCATGGCTTCCACACACTTCAAGGTCAGATCGAGGTCGCCCTGGACATTGTGCTGCTACTTTTTACGTGCACATAAGAAAAGTAGCAGCACAATGTCAGATCCAGGTCGCCCTTTCTGGGTTTTTTGAGGGCGCTTTTAAAGGACATGGAGAGAGGTTCCCAAGGGATTCGGAAGGGCGGGCCGTTTCGGGTGACTGGGTGTGGGGAGTTTCTCTCGGCTCGTGTTGCAGACATTTTCGTCATCAACAAGCCTTCATCAGGACAGGTTTCCTCGTCATCAGCGGCATGTTACTGGTGTTGGTTCTGGGGTTCGGGGTTTAGGGCCTCGCTAGCAATGAGTCATGGTGGAAACAGCATCGCTACATAACAATGGCCACTTGCCATGCTGGCTAGAAAGAGAATGCCCGAAAGACAAGGCGATCGTCGACGATGCTGATGAGATGCGGAGCACTGGCGTACAGGAACCATGCCTTCAGTCCCCCACCCGAAGTAGATTAAAGAAGTCCCTGGCAATGTGTGCTGATGCTCAAGGTTCAGGGCTGCTGGGTGTAAGGCTGAGCGAGACCCGAACTCCCAATCTTCGCTCTTAGCTCTGAACCCCACGGAAGGAGTCGGAGTTTGGGATCGTGGCCTGCGCTTCGGTTTAGGCTAGCCCACCCACGGCCATGGCGGGCCTCGGGCTGTTCCACGGAAGTGCAGAAGAACTGGAGGCCGCCCATGTCTGCAGCTCCTGACATCTCGGCTCTTCTTGGGAGTCAGTCTTCCTCTTCTTGCGGGGAGGGGCACGATCGGACATGGTGTGACGGGACAAGGAATCTGACCACTCCTTCGATCTCCACACCACGCTTGCCACCTTCCTTGATGACCTGGGATGGGCTATGACAGAAGAAATGGCTTCTTCATTAGCAATATGCTGCAATGCTCGGGAGTGCTCCAAGCAGGACACTCGCGACGTAGCTGCAGGCCTTCTTGAGCTTGTCCTTCTTCAGTTTCTCAAGCTCCTCCGGTGTCAGCTCCTTCTCCTTCTCCTCTTCCTTCTCCTCCAGACGAGGACAAGGGGCATTTTTCTGGCCTCAATCAAGCCCGCATGCTTAGAAAGGCACTGATAAGATGAAGATACACAGCCCAACATAGCATGCAAGGCATATCTCGTTGCAAGGCCCTCCACTGAAAACATGTGCTACTACTACAGCAGATGCTTCCTCCGTAAGACCGACAGCAGCAACGCAAAGACCTCAGGACTCAAGCCATTGCAACTTGAGACCAGGGCCTTGACCTTAAGCCTTTCGGTGGCAGTTTGGGCACCCTGAACCCAAAGGGTAGTGGCCTTGCTTCCATCCTTTTCCTGCACAGGACGAAGGTGCAACTGTTGTGGTCTAACTCCCACAAGACCAACATGCTTCAGAAACACCGACAAAAGAAGCTCCAGATGCTCCAATCTCGCAAACGTAAAGTCTACAGCTGCCCGTCTTACGAAGGCTTCAATGCGTATCGCCAGTCTGTTGTGCAGATGAATAGCTCTGCAAGCAAATAGGCAGTGATGACAAGGGCCCTCTTTGCATCATTCAAGCAACAGCCATATACCCTCTGATCTCCCAGTCTCTGCGGCTCGATACCAGCGGCATGTGCCTTTTTCTTGTCGTCCTTCTTGCCGGACTCCTTCTTCGGAGCCGCCTCTTTCTTGGGTGCAGCCTCCTTCTCCTTCTTGGGTGCTGCGTCCTCGCTACTCACCACGTAGGTAAAACATTCGATAGGTGGATCAACCCACGAAGTCAAGTGTGACACCGAAATGCATGCGTACATGCCTATGAAAGCATGCAAGCATGCATGCATGCATGCATGCATGCATGTGCGTATGTATGCGTACACACGTAGAAGCCTAGGGGACAGCTAGAATCCAGACCAGTCGCCAGACTGCAGAAACTTTGATTATGGCGCATCGAAGGAGTCGCACCTCCTGCCTCGTGCGTGCTTCTCGAACAGAAAAATTTCAGAACAAGGACATGTCGGTGAGGCTTTGCGGGGGGGCTGTGGGCGTCTCCGACTTTTTGGCAGGGTGGGTGCGGACAGGGCCGCATTGAGAAGGCAGATTTTGTTGGATAAATAAAGCGGGGAAGTCATAAAGGCTGTGTTGAAGGAGGGATCTGTGCTGCGGTGGAGTGGGGGAATCTCAGCCCTTCCCCCAGGCCCCGAAGTGATCGTCCTTCTTGGCGGCAGCTTCCTTCTTCGGGGCGGCGGCCTCCTTCTTGGGGGCTGCCTCCTTCTTCGCATCCTTCTTGGACGCTTCCTGTTTCCGGGTCTCACGTCAGCAGTTCTCGTCGCGTGGCATGGAGACGGATCGTCACAGGGATCTCGCATTTGCAGCTCCGAGCCTTCTGATTCTGAGGCGGGCTGCCAGCGCTACCCAAAACAGCCTGGAACTCTGGCTGGCTGGTGCCTCCGAGGCCACGAGGTTTCCGCACATGCCCGTGATCCACACGGCTATGTGAAAGTTTCGAGTACGTGACCTACCTTTGAAAACTGGCCCACTCCCGCAAGCTACACTTTCCGCAGAAAGGACCCAAAGAGGATCTGCGTATCCCAGAAGCACGAGCTGCTTCAATCAAAAACGTCTTGGGATCGGACATAGGCCGTACCACCGCATCAAGTTCTGGCAAGAGCGAGGCTCGAGTGTCTGACTTTTGAAAAAACGTACATCAGCATTACGTTGGAGCTGCTTTGATACCCTGTCATGTTTCGGGAGACCCATCCCAAGCAGCTTCCATTCCTACACACATGATACGAGCTGTCGTCTGACCACTACCTTGCTGCTCTCGTAACTTTACCATGACACCACACAATTCCCCATGGTGTTGCTACCAGATTTTTCGTCGCAGCGAATTCCGATCGAGCTCTCACAAACACGTTGCAATAGATCGAGGAATCTAGAAGCTAGACGCACCCGCCCCCACACCCACCCTTTTTGCACCGAACTCGACGCAAGCATGTCAGGATGGCTGGATACTGCTGCTTGAACTTCTCGTCGAAGGCCTGGTGAATTCGGACTTTTCTTGTTCAACGTTTCTTTCATCCCGGTACTGTACTAGTTACTACGGGCAGCACTCGGTGCAGCATGGATTTGGGCTGAGAGAATCTCAAGGGAGGTAGCATGTTGATGGAGCGTCCCCAAGGCTGTCTAGTCTGCGGAGTAGGATCCTTTCGACAGTCATCCTGCAACAGCGAAAGGTGTTCTTGAACACTCAGCCGAAGTACAGTAATTAGTTGTGTTGAAGTCGCGGGGTTTTGGATATCTAAAGTGTGCAGATGGTCTTGAGTACTTTGGTCCTCTGACCGGGCACTTTCTGCCTGATGCTGATCTCAGTCTGCCGAAATGCGCAGTTTCCACTGAGGCACCCACTAGCTTCATAGCATCGAGCAGGGCGCAGCTTACCTAAGCCATGCACTTGGACTTTAATCACAACCATCTGGCAGGAACAAGATCAGGACCCACCCCATGCACCATGCAGTCCTCGTTGGTTTCACAGCCAACACTAAAGCAATTGCTTATTGCCATGCTGCCTTTACAGCATCTCAGGTTCAAGGGGGCGATCAGCTTTGCAGGAGAGACAAAGCCTGATAAGATCGATGCACCGTGAAGTCACTCACATACCTGCGTTGAAACACTCGGTCAACCAAAACACCTCGAAGCTGAAAACAACAAGCAATGACCGAACAAGACTATGTAGGGCGGCTGCGGAAATGTCGGCCAAGGTGATAGTGTTCCCCACCTGCTTCTTGCGGGGTTACGGCCCCTCGGTGTGGACAGATACTCGATACTCGAGATGCTGCTTTTCTGCCATGGACACTTGCATTTGCCATGCCCGGCATCGGCTGCCCCGACGCAGCCACATGAAAAGGTGGAAGCTCGGCTGGGTGCAGCAACATGACAGCAGCCGTCTACAGCGGCTTGAGAGTGCATCTGTGGGTGCAAAGGGGCATCGCATACAAGTTGACTGCCGCTGGTCGCTGCTGCCATCTTGCAACCCTGATGGTGTGTGCTTGAAACAACGTAGCTCTGTGTGGCTCCTGTGGGACTTCTCTGGTTCATGCAGACCTGCCCGCTTACCGAATCCGTCCAGCCTGAAGGCATCAGTAGGAATCAGACCAGAGTTTTCATGTGTGTCAAAACTTAGCAAGTCCCAAACTGACTCCGTCATGTTCCGTGGCATTCGTGGAATGAAGCAGGCTGTCCGACTACACATCCCACGCATCAGCACCGAATCAGAACGATGCAAGTGCCTGAGACTGGCTGTTGCCGAACTGACCGGGGCGTTCATGCCTATCTCAAAATCGAAAGTGATTGGTTTAAATATCTTCCCGGGATCCTCATGCCGGCGGCAACAGCCAAGTTCTGCCGCTTGTTTTTGGCGTGCCCCCAAGCCACAACCCTTGCGGAGCTTTCCGCGGCATCACTGGGCGACTGGGCCTAGAACCAATCTCGCAACATCAGACTTTAATTCTACGAATCAGCTGCAATGGCATCGTGACTCATTCAAGGGTGAGTAAACAAGCATTGAAGGATCATACATCAGGGTTGAGGTCTTCAGGAGGCACAGGCAGCAAAACGATAAAGACTATTGTCCCGTCGACTTCGACGACTGTCAGGCCCGGAGACCTCTCAGAATCACTCGCACGTCATGTCAAAAGCGGAAGCCGCGACCCCAACATGAAATTGAATCTTCTTGGGAATAAGTGCAGCCCCAAACCGGAACCACGGAAGCACATGCCTACATGCAACAACTACTGTGGATGTGCGGGGTGCGGCAGTATCTAGCCGGGGCGCGCGCAGAAGGCAGCGACATCTTGCCGTTGGGCCATGACAGGGACTTCATATGCTAGAGAAATGGATCTTGGAAGCATTCAGAAGCACCCAAGCTTGCCCTCTACCGCAGCGCAGCACGGCTAACATTCCAGCGTGCTTGGGACTTTACATGCAGTTGCACCGGGTGTGAGCATCCCTCCTGAAACGCGTAAGCCGTAAGACAGGCTTTCGCGGGTTAGGTCCTCACCCACAGGCGCTCACATGCCCTCGACCTTCACAAAGCAGAGTAGCAGACTCAGGGTCTGTCTAGGACAAGGCTGTGGGTTTCAGCAGCAGGACAGGGTCCATGATTCGAATTCCGAACCTGTGCTGCCAATGATCTGCAAACGCTGAGAAGGTCTTGGCTTTCACCCAAGCGTACTGGAACAAGACAAGCTCTCATGAGCCTTGCTCCAAATGTAACATCGAAATGAGCATGAGATGAAAACTCGTGGTTTTACATTCTCCCGGAGGTCCAGGCCGGAGGCGCATGCTTGATGTCCAAAGCAAGGTTAGAAGAGAAAGCGACCGGAGGCTAAACTTCCGAGACTCTAAAGATCGGGCTCTTTGCCCACACTTGCTGCACATCGCAAGTGACACCCAAAGGTCGTGGTCGCGATGCCGTCGCTGAGCTGGTCGCCGAGCGGCTTCTGCATGCTTTTCCGAAGCCGAAGGTGCCCGCAGCTGCGACCGGCGGGTTAAAAGCTACAAAAAGTTCCTGAGCCCCTGCCGTGAGGTTCCAAAAACTTTTCGGCAAAGGCCAAATCGCCCGGCCCTCAGCCGAGAGGCAGGCGGGGACACAAGAGGGTTGGCGACTGCCCTGCTGCCCAGCTGCTACCAACCTGAATCTCAACCTTAAGACAAGGGCAGCAGGGAGCGGCGAGCCCTCGGCGGATCTCGGCGGTGTGTCTCTCATCCACCAGCTTGCCTGTCGTGGGCCGTCATCATTGGCATCACCTGGAAATTCCGCAATCAGCTCTTTGAGGTCGGATGCTTTTTGCAAGCTCAGCTTCAGATCATCATGACAGCCGATGTCTTGTTCCATCGTCAGACAGTAGTAGTAGCAGTCGTCGTCGTCGTGGTGGTGGTAGTAGTAGTAGTAGCAGCAGCAGCATTAAATGAGTTACGTAGCAATAGTCGTCGGCATCATTGTAATAGTAGGGAGACGTTACGATGATGACAACGTCCGCCACGACGACAACATGGACAAAGGGGGCGGGCTCGGCAACACCACAACATTATCACGACATTAACACTGCCGCAGCAGTGCACTCACAACCGCCACCACCACATGAATAACACGAAGAGCCCGACAACACCAGACTACCCTCTCCAACCCCCATGCGGCCGGTGCATGTAGCGAATGACAGATCAACCTCCAGCTCCAGCTGGGTCCGCTGCATCAGGAACCAGTGGCACTTCAAACTTCTTCTCCTGTTGCCGGCGGTTCTCGTGTGAAGAGGTTCGGGGTTGAGGTTTTGCCCTCCCAGTGAGAGGAGGCCACGCATTTTGGATAGTGTGCACATTGCATTGCTGACGAGCACCAAGAACTATCTACCGTTGCCTTCGCGCACAATCTGAGACTCGCATCCTACCTGTGACCTATGACTTGCCTTGTGGCGACCATTGCGAATGCAGATCTGGAGGATAAGAGTCCGGAGTGCTTCCAAGCGGCGATCGGGAGGAATTGTTCTGTGGTATTCTCCTCCTCCGAATCAACACTCGTACTCGCCCTCCTCGGTAGGCTTCGGAGGTTTGCAACTCACGGCGGCGCCGAGCTCTGTGCAAAAGCTTTATGCGGTCTTACAGGACTTTATTTAAGGCTTCGATCAGGGAGAGGCAAGATGCGACCGGTCTCGCTGAAGGCAGTGAGCAGACGATCGGCTTCTGCAACGATGGGGACACTGCCCGTGAGACTTGATCGGACTGCTCAACCAGGAAACATAGAAACGTAGAAGTGATGCAATCCCTTCCGCGAGCTTGGCAGGTCGCTCTAGTGAGTCTAGTATTCTGTGGAGATCTTGGGCCACCAGTTTGAGTACTCGCACTCGCTGAGCACCGCACGGCTGCACAATGCGAATCCTTAGACATGTCTGAGCAAGCAGTATTGCAACGCTGCAGGAGAGCTTTGACCTATCATAACTGCCTGAAAAAAGAGCCACTCTGCGTGCCCAGAGGTTCGATCACCAAAACAAGTCTGACTAGATGCTGCCAGCTCACGACATGCAGCACTTCGCAACTGGGAGTGGGCCTGGCACGGGCTCTGCATGACAGCTATCACGGCATGAAGCCCTTAGTAGAGGTGACAGTTGAAGGACTAAGCAAGGCAGGAGTGACCCATGCTCGCACCGTGCAAGGTCTCGGCCTCAGCACCTGAAGATGATGAGATCATTGCAAGATCACACCACTACCTAGCAGCCTAGCAGCAGCTAGCTACACTTCGCCAAAGTAGCCCGGAACTCTGGAACCTTCCAGAGCCTCCAGCGCCACCAGGGCCCGGACTCATCGTCACAGTGTAGAGGTCACGCAGCGATGCCTGGCAGAGCTCTGCATTTCTGAGCTACACCACGACTCCCAGAGTTTTCCGGCAGCCCGAC